ATTTGACTGTAGCAACGCAAGTTTTTTACACGAAACGGGGAAATATTGTACTCCAAACAAAACTACTCACAGAAAAATAACTCTGCTGGTATTTTTCGACCGTTTCTGGGTATGTTTTATTACTTTTGATGAGTATAACAAATACTAAGTGTTCGTTGCGGTTCTCCTCATCATCCGCCATCTTTATTTTTTTGTGTGAATTCAAAATTAGGGGGAGGAGCTGATGCCCTTTTATAGCGCGCCTTCGTGCTGAAGAACGTGTCCAAATGAGATCCAAGCAATATCAAAATTTGAGTCCAAATAGTACTCTCCAGAATTTGGAACTATACTGTGTACACACTGGTATTAGTTCAAGTTACAAGCCTGCCAAATATTTTTCCCAAAGTCCGAACAAATCACGAGATACAGTGGTTGGAGTGAAATGATAAATCATGGTAAATTCGCCCATGAAGTTTATAACTTGCTCAGAGACTATTGGGTGCCGATATTATAAAGAATCTTTGCCAATTTCAAATGAAGAGTATACTTATTCGAGTCAACTAAATTTGAAGAGGATGCGATAACTATGTTCTAAAATAAAAGTATTCATGTAATTAGCTTGGCACTCTTTTATGCAAAGTCGCTTCAACTTGGCCTCTTCACAAACCGCATTTTATCATTAATCATGTAACCTTGATAATGGCGCAAGATGCACCGAAACGTCGATTTCTATCACTTATATTTCTTGTCTCATCATTTCCAAATCGTTTCTTAGAAGTGTTACGAGGATCGAATTATTTTCACTGAATCTGTCACGCAATCCCAAACTTTTCAAGAATTGGCGTTAGTCTGTAACATTCCAGAAACTTCGTTCATGTGACTCAGCAGTTTCCAAAAATAGTACAACTTGTAATGCGTCGTAAATAGTAATTGAAAATTCTAGATACCTAAAGTAAATGTATAAAAGCTGGCTTGTGAGAAGTACAAGAGATTTTTGCCCGGGGGCTTACCGTCGTGGCCGGCTGACTGAACTTGTGGAAGCTTGATATGACGAGGCTATGACCTTTTGACCTTGCGATATCCTGAGAGAAGAAAGAGAATAAAAGACGATAGCCAAGAAAGTAAGAAGATAAAGAATATAGAGTTCACTATGAATATTCACTACAATATAGAGCTTTTGTATATACCGCTATAGAAATAAAGTTATTGTTATTATAGTTAAGTCCACTGGAAGAGTTTGTGAACACGAACAAATGCCCTGAATCAAGAAAGCCAAGCGTTGTGGTCTTCAGTCGGTGGAAGGTGGAATTCGCAGTTGATCAAGACGATGAATACTGATACGGCATGAAGGATTGTAAGCCGGCTTTACGAACTGCTTAACTTAATCTTTAACCTAAGTAGATTAGACAGTGTAAAACTAATTAATAATAGTTGAAATAGGTAACTGCTTGCTGTTACATTTTGTTGCGTGCCTTATATCGTACTCGGGAGTCTAATTTTTACATATGCTTTGTTAGCGGACATCTCTTGGTCATTCCTGCACGCGACATAAGATTATTATAGTTTGTACGACTAGCCTTTGCTAACTGTGGGCAGTGCATATTTTTTGTATTATTGTAATATATCTAAAACTATCGTTAAACTATCATTAAACTTAAACTATAACAATTAATCATTATTTTCTATCTAGCGAGTTTTATCTCTTGTTTCTATTTAATACTTGATAAAGGAGGAAATAGAGTTGTTGTCGTCAACTTTTATATCGGCTGATGATATTTCAACTCCACTGGGTTAAAGACTGTTTGCAGCACTTTGATCAAGGAACTAGTCGATACGTAAAGCCTAGGTACCTCCTAGCCTCGACTCAGTTTCCTGACTCAAGAAGGTGATATCAAGCAAGGAACTACGTGTACTAGTAACCACCTCGTGCAATGGGGCCCTTGAGCTGTTAAGACATGGGACATAGCAAAGCTGTCTCGAATCGAGTGTTATGCTTGGTCAGTATTGTGAGAAGCCTCATTCCCAGAATCTGTCCTCTTCCCGCTCCCCCTCAATACCTCAATCCCGGGTTGAGGGGACTTGGAGTTGAAATTCCCACCCCCTCCCCTCTTCAACCCAAGGGTGTGGGACAGAGAACTCAGAGGTGGAAAAAAACTTAGGAATGTGGTTTGTTGTACATCATTTAAAACTGAGATAAATTTCTCCATCCTTAACCATACCTGTTGGTTCTTGAAGTATTATCATCATTATTACCACTTTTATGTTTTTCCATCACACTGAACCGATGTATGATGGTTCTTATTCAAGCTTGGGAGCTTACTGCTATTGGCGGCAAAATCTGCTCAAAAGTTCGCGACCCACTTCCATATGATTCCTCAAATTTGGAAAGGTCACCACTTTTGAAGACGTGTCACAATTTTATGGAGTCTTGTTTTGTTCCGGTCTACTTTTCTTCTTTTCCTAAATATTGTAACTTTTTGTTCTAATTTTGTGAACGGCCTGGCATATTATATTTCTAACGAGTTTGGTGGAAATCCCTGCAAATATACTGGTTATTCACAACTGTAACAGGTATTGGGACATTTAAGTTATAACGAACAGCACGTTTGAGGACTAAACGGTCTGCGCATGATCAGACTTCGAGGCTGCCAGTCATTATACTCCTGCTAGGTGGTAGATCATTTCAATACCTGCAATGAAATCTTTTTGTGTTAGAAAAGCCGTAGATTTTTCTTTTTCTTTTTCTTTTTTTTTTTGATCGACGGCGGTTGTCTCTTTTGTTTTTGTTTGATATTTTGGGTGGGATCTTGTTCTGCAGCTGACCAAAATTGATTCTCTTGTGAATGCCCGAAGTTTGACCGCTTAGTCACTTTTACTACTACTTGCCAATTTTTCCGCGTCCCTTTTCCAGGCTATGAATTCTGCAAAGGGAAAGGATGAACGAAAATAAATAAAAGGAACAGCAGAAATGGAGTTGTGACGGACAAAGAACGGGAAACAAGGACCTATACACCGTTACACCGTGCGAGCGACACGGGGCAAAAGTACTCGAGGAATAATAAGGTTTCATATAATGTTTTTACCGCGTTCATTTGTACGGTTAAGTATAACTGGATTTTTGTATGAAGCGAATAAGAAAATTATCAAAAATTTAAAAGATGTCCGGTATGAATTGACTCATTTTTACAATTATGTTACCCTTGTGCAGAACATGACATCGAGTTCTTGCGCCAAAGTTCTTGAAAACGTATTTAATCATGCAAATTTTGAAAAGCTTTAAAAGTGACATTACCATTAAATTGAAAACCATTTTGATGTAATCAATCAAAGTTACAGATCGTTCTCATTTATTGAGCAACCTTAACAGTCAATGCACTCTATTCACTATAAATTATCCGGACAATTGGACGGTGCAGTTCTATAACAAAGAAAACCGATTTACAATTTCTGCTCACCGACCAAGACAGAAAATGTACGTCTTGGCATTCGGTAGAATTGAAATCTTGACTGAAAAAGTTTGTTGCATACTTTGACTCGTTTGTTTTAATTAGTTTTATAAAACATTTCAATCTCATCAGGACGAAAATTGTGACTTCCTGCCAGAAATGATTGGGCGAAGGAGCTGTCATAACTGTGGCCAGATGGTGGACTGTAGGTATATCCAAGGTTTGAGGTAGAATGTTTGTTGGATGAGGCGTATTTGTCGATGTAAATACCGTGTGCTCCACCAAATGAAGGTCTACGATCTGAACAGCCATAAGTGGTATATGAAGAATGTGAATCAATTTGTCCGGGTTGTGACAGTTTCACTGGTCCCCAGCCTGGTTTGTTAACCAATGAGAACAAAAAGGCTGTCGAACTGCTTAGCCATGAACAACTTGATGTTATATGTGGGGAAATAAAAACACAAGTACTCTAAACAATTATAACCATTTTAACACAGTTCTACTAATATTTATATAAAGTAACTAGGCCTGTACATAGGAATTTGTCGGGAAAAGCGCGTTCTATTTTCTCATTACTGTTTCTTTATGAGTTTAAGTCGACAGTGAAATATTTTCTTTACTACAGGGCCGTTCGAAGCGGCACAGGAAGGCTTTTTCAGTTCTGGATCAAATCCAACAGCATGGTCGTGTGATAGATGGAGTTCTTGTATAATTGAGGGATGCAGCTATTCCTGATCAAGTCCCTAAAGTTTGTCTCAAAAATTAATTATCCCTTTGATAATATGCATGCCAGCTGGAAATGTTTCACAAAAATCTAAAGGAAGATTTAAATCGACATCAATTCTAGTGTTCTGAAAGGCACACTGACATCAGTTTTCTATCTCTGATTTTTTTAATGACTCGCTCGACGAACTTCGCCGAAAAGGAGGGACTGCTCTCAATCTAAAGTTATTACAGAGGAATTACTTCGAGTCACTCATTCTCAAATATACGTTGTGTGTTTTTAGGAAATATTAACCACGCACAGTCTCAAATATTAAAAGGTTGAGAGAAATTTCAGAGAAGCGGAAAAATAAAATGAAGGGATTGATCTATTCAACAATCTTTCCTTTACTCCATGATGTGCTAGTGTATCCACCAAATATGTATTTTCCCACAGGGATAATGGTCACTGTTGGCCCTTTGCTGTCACACAGTAAGTGGAAGTTAGAGGCTAGCCATCCATCTGCTGATGGTCGCCAACGGCGCTTCCAGTAAGTGGACTGGCTCTGCACAACAGGGGTTCGTTGCGCCCTTCATCCTCCCAGCCAAGCGTCTACTGCAGAACTTGTGTCGAAAGGGCTTAGGTTGGGACGAGATAGCTTCAAACGAAGACATAAATGTTTGGGAGAGCTGGCTCGCAGATCTCCCCAAGCTGGAGTCATTCAAAGTTCATCGATGTTTCAAACCACCTGACTTCGGCGACGTCACAACTTGTCAGATCCACCACTTTGCTGATGCCAGTCAGGTGGCTTATGGTGCCGTATCCTACCCCGCATTACTAACGCGCGAGGTCTCGTTCATTGCTCATTCATCATGGGAAAATCCCGGTTGTCACCACTCAAGCTTCTTACTATTCCTCGATTAGAATTGAGCGCAGCTGTTGTCGCAGCCAGACTGGACAAGATCATTAGAACTGAAACCGACCTACGGGTCGACGAGTTTGTGTTTTGGACCGACAGCACTTGCGTCCTGGGATACCCCCGGAACGAGAGCAAGCGATTTCATACATTTGTGGCAAATCGAGAAGCAACAATACAGGAGGTCGCGGCCGCCTTGCAGTGGAGACATATTGACTCCTCGCAGAACCCGTCAGACGACGCATCTCGTGGGCTGTCCGCAGAGGCTCTTTTAAATAACAGTTGATGGCTCAGAGGCCCTGATTTCCTGTGGCGTCCAGAATTCTCCTGGCCCATTGCACCCAGCCCAGTCCTGGAGGTCTCACCAGTCGACCCAGAGATAAAATCAACAGCTGAGGTATACTCTCAATCCCCAGAAATCGGTGTGGAACCAATGAACAAGATCTTCGAGCGATTTTCTTCGTGGTACGGGTTGAAGAAACTCATTGCGTGGATCTTTCGCTATCGTGACAACTGGCAGTTGTGCAACGCAGGAGTGGTTACACAGGCATTAGCGAGAAAGCGAAGATAGTCCCAATTACCCTTGACGAGTAACGAAATGCAGAAAGGGACATTGTGAAACATGTTCAAGAAGAGAGTTTCGGAGAGGAATTGGCCATATTAAAAAGGGCATCATCTACGCCATCATCAACACCCACCTCAGGTGAACAAAACTTAAAGTGTCAGGTCAAGAAATCGAGCAACATCGTCAAACTCGATCCCCGGATGATTCACGTCTTGTTATGTGTCCTGGGTACGATAGCCAATGGACCCTTCCAGCAGCGTGTGAAACATTCAGTCATTTTGCCAAAGTCTCACCGCATTGTTCCCCTCATCATACGCCACTATCACCCTGTTTCCGGTCATTCAGGAGTGGAACATGTCCTTAGTCTGATGATAGAGAAATTTTGGATTGTCGGTGCCAGAACAGTAGTGCGAAGATATCTAAACACCTGCGTTGCCTGCAAGAGAAGAAAAGCCCTCGTTGGTGAACAGAAAATGGCAGATTTCTCGCGGGACAGAATTACACCTGACAAACCACCATTTACTAATGTGGGAGTCGACTGCTTTGGCCCATTCCCGATTCGCCGTGGAAGAACAGAAGTTAAGCGTTATGGCGTGTTGTATACCTTTTTGGTGGTGCGTGCCGTCCACATAGAAGTGGCCCACAATCCGGATACCGCTTCATTTCTAAACAGCTTTAGGCGATTTGTCATGAGGAGAGGATCTCCGGAAATGATCATGTCCGACAACGGTGGCAATCTTGTATCAGGAGAACGCGAACTGAACCGCTCTATCAAAGAATGGAACCAGGAGAATATTGCCAATTTCCTACTTCAGAGAAATTTCCAGTGGGTATTCAACCCTCCATGCGGGTCCCACCATGACGGTCCATGGGAGCGTTGCATAAGGACAGTAAGAAAGGTCTTAAACGCGCTGGTTAGGCAGCAAGTACCAGATGACGAAGGGCTGTCAACATTCATGTACGAGGCGGAGTCAATCGTAAACAGCAGGCCCTTGACAAAGGTCTCAGAAGACGTCCGCGATCTCGAGCCCCTCACGCCTAATCACCTTCTCCTCCTTCGGTTTAGACTATCGCTTCCTCCCGGAATCTTTGTCAAGAAGGACATATACTCCAAGCGCAGATGGAGGCAGGGTCAGTACTTATCGGATGTATTTTGGCTCCGATGGGTGAAGGAATACCTCACAACCTTGTAAGGGAGACAAAAATGGTTCAGGCCGCGTCGGAATTTTCAAATTGGAGACATCGTACTGGTCACAGATGAGAAGTTGCCCAGAGGTTTATGGCCACTTACACGCATAACAGGCGTTGAGACAAACCAACAATACCGTCTTGTGAAAAGTGTCACGCTGAGAACCAAATCAAACACACTCGAACGTCCTATAGACAAGATAGTCTTACTCGAAGGAGCAGCTTAAGTTTCTGAGGAGGCTTAATTGTGAGCTTGGCTATGCGTTTCGTTGTTCAGTGACGTTGCACGAGGAACAATTAATGTTAAGATCGCGTTGTAATCCTCTATAGGTCCATGTAAATGCTTGTGCAGCGCATTTAGGTGCCGGGATGTAGGATTCTACCTGCGAATTTTTGTAGCTTATAATTTATGCATGCTTTAGAGCTATTTAAACGGTATGGCTTGTTAGCGCGCAAATATTTTTCAATTACTCTCTAGCTGTTTCGTCGCCAATCTCAGACTCTCAATCTATGCTTCAGAGCTACAATCAGGATAACATTTGTAAGTTTTTAATTCTGTCTTATGTTTATTACCGCTCGGCCCTTCCTCTCAGTACTTTTATTTATTTTTCTAGTCGAACCTCGCTCACTCACTCGCGAATCACAAACCTCAATCGGCTCCTCGAGTCGCCTCAACCGAGCGCGAGTTCGAAAAGTTCCAAGACGTAGCATCAACAAGAACTGTAGGCTACAGTCTCCCATTACTCCTATTGCATGTCAGCTCTGATTGACAATGATTTGCTACATGTCCAGTTCTGAGGCAAAAGAAACATCTTCCTTTTCTCTTCAAAATTTCTCTCCGGCGTTCTGGATCTGTAACTGAGATTAAACCCCACCATTAATTCATTAATATCCCAGGTTTCCGATTTCAATTTGCGGCTGACGATCGATCGAAACTCTTCGGGAATTTTCTCCATTATCACTGGTATCAGTAGGCATCCATACATTTCTGATTTAATTGCGAGAGCCTGTAGACTATGCACATTAATCTCAATCTTGTCTGTTCCGATCCTTCAAGCTCTGATCCATTACCCAAAAAATAAACGAGGTGAGAACTCTTCTTCGGCAGTGTAACCGGGTTTATTGAGAATAAACGTTTAAGGTGAAACGAGAAAGCGTGTTCACCGGGAGCACCTGCAAATTTATAATTTTTGACAGCATGCCTAGTGCTATCCCACAATGCATAACGAAACAATACCTGCAGACGTGTAACGCAACGAGTTGAGCGTGACAGAACATTGTCATACATCGCTCTTACTTGTTCGATACCCAACCCTGAAACCACTCGAGGAATCTTCAGCAAGGAATCCATATGCGAACTTATTATCATTTGTTTGTCTCCATATCTGTCGCGTAAGAGTTCCACAGCAGTGGCGTAATTCTCCTTTGTTAATGCGAGACCAGGAAACGTTGCAGCGGCGGGGCCTTCAAGGTATGTACTTAAATAGTTTAGCTTCTCAATGTCATTTAGCGATTCATTAGTGCGAATGGCGGCTTCGAAACTGTCACAAAACGATTGATATTCCATGTGGTTTCCAGTGAATTTCTTGATAACTAATTTCGGTAACTTCACGGTTTGGGTTATCTTTCTCGAACGTTGTCCACCTTTACCCGATTTCTTTGACGAATTTACGCTTCCAGCTGAGTTTACAGACTCCTTCTCGTCGTCACTTCCACTATTGGACGAAATCGCTGCAGTCGCAAGATCAGTGTTGACAATTCGCTCCTGTATTTCAGCCTTCAGCTCGCTCGACTGTTCTATCTCCTCCACAGGTGGCCAAGCTCTGTCACAGGCTCTTTCACAGTGGATTATTATAGAGTTTGTATTGTGGTTTAGTTGGACTTGCTTTTGTAAAGTTGTGTGAAATAATCAAAGAAATAAACTCTTACCTTCATAGAGAGTAGTCTGTTGTTCTCCTCGCGATTTGAGGCCGTTTTGATTTGTTTCAGCTTGACGCCCTAATCACCACCGAGTCACGTACACAAGATACGGGAAGATAGGAAACTCCCGTTGACACATACTCGCCAAAATTGCTCGAAAACAACACTTTCCCTCGAAACACTTTCCCTCGAATCAAAACTTGACAGCACGAAAGCCATACAGTGGCCCTTTAAGTTCACTGAAAAAAATCCCACAAAAGTTGGTTTGTCGAGCAACCAATCCAGCGAGAATCTCAAATTAACGGCCGTTCTGAATTCTTCTAATGCGTGGAAGGAACATCTTGTGCACCTGAGAGACCGTTAATGCGCTTTCAACCTGGACCCTAGTCAAATCTCTCTCAACGGGTCCTCCCCATAGTCTTCTAAGACGAACCCTTCACACATACTAAAGTACCCCGGATAAACTCATCGACTTGACTAGATCGTCGATACTGTCCATCTTCCCAGTTTTCAATGGATTGTACCAAGAGCTATAATTGGGACTGGCTCTTGATTGTACATACATAACTTCTGTGACCCACGCGTCGGTGCTTTAATCTCTTCAAGTCTTCCATTCCAAGCAATTTTCCAAACGCTTTCAATCCAAACTGATGATCCGGCTCGAAGGACCATGCAAAATTATGCGTATACACAAAATATTTAAAACTATTTTATTCCACAACGTTCCTGAATGCATTAAAATCAGCCAAAACTTCTCAGGAAAAACTCAGCCTGTGATAATCACGAGATCCTGTGACGTCACATCTCGAGAATTTCTACAGGGATTGATAAAAATTAACTGTGGTGCAACCTCGGTGAGGAGTGTAACAAAATAATTTTATGCCAGGATACGTTATCTCTAAATCATCTCTTAAACAAGTATCTGTCATAACATCAAGATCACCTGCCACTAAGGGAGAGAAAGGTCCCTATCTTTTTTCACCTTTTTTTTGCATATCTAAGTTTGCTTTGCAAAATATCTAGGTATGGTTCATTTGAACATGACAAGAAGACGCGACACTTCTTTTGTAATGTTTTATCCAACTGATTCTGGTTAAGTTTCTTAATTTCTTGTTAGACTGGGACAAATACTTTGCTGTGGTTTTGAGTCACCCCAAAAGTGTAGTGAACATCATTCAGTTTGTCGAGTCTTTTCCCGCCAATAGTAACTATTTTAATGTATTTCATTGTTTTCTTTGGTCACGTGGTTGTTTTAGTTTTCGCAGTCAGTCACGAAATTTTAAGCTTTGCTTTGCTTCACTTTGCCATTCGTTTTCTCGTCCTTTTGTGGAGTTGATTTAAAGTTTTTCGAGCTTAACTGTTGCGGTGGCACGGTTATTCCGAGTCGAATGAGTATAGGCCGAGTATTCCGCTTGTGAAGCGCTGAATGGGCCGATCGAGGAATAAAGAACGGTAAAGAACTAGAGGTTTGTGACTGATCTCGTGTCAAAATTTATATACATCACACAGGTCGTCGTTGAAGAAACCACATGAAGTTAGTGCTTCATGATCAGAAATAAAGACTTCTTTGAAATTCTCTAAATTTAACCAATCAGCTAAATTAAGACAATACTTTATTGTCTGGGAAAAGAATTGACATTCCTATTGTCGGCAAAACAGAACTTTCCGATCAATTGTAAGCTTTCAAAATATTTCGTAAAGGTCCAGTCTCCAAGAAAAAGTCTTAAATGTCACCCATTTCAACACAAGGAGGAACAATTTCTTATTTTATTTTATCTTTTAACAACAGGGAGATTAAAACTTTCTAGAGGTTTCTCTTGGCGGAATATGTGACCCAGAACGCAGCTTTCCTGAAAAATCACTGATCCTAAAAACCCACTGTAAATATTTTGGTAATTAGAGGATTAATTACGGTGGATCAGTTGCAAAGCATTCCGATGGAATCATGTCATAGCTTCACACTAAATATCGTTGGACTTTGCTCGTCTCAAAAATCTCGATGAAAAAAGAGCCCAATTTTTGTTCATGTTATCTATCGTTTGTTGAAAGGGGGCATGTTTTTGAAGAAACTGTAGTGCTGCGTCTGTGGGGGGTATAACAAGATAGTTTGGTTAATCAAATGAGTCGATAATGTAAACTGGCGCTGGAGAGTTTCTAAGGCTAACGTTTCAAGCGCTTGCCCCCGGTCAGAGCGAATCCGTTTTGGTGAATCTTCTCAAATATATTTATAGTTTGTTTTTTTTTTGCGGGATGCCTTGATAATTTCATTCATCACAATAGCACAATGAGTTGAGCAATTCAGTGTTACTATCGTGACCTCAAACTAGTCAACCATTCAAAAAGCAAAGTTTATTACTCCACACCTTTCTAGAAACACTTTGGTAATTGAAGAGAACACGACAAGACGTCTAGTTACGGCAACTGTTATGGTCGAGAACTTCATTGGCATTTAGATCTCTTGGTCCGGCATCCATAAAATACATGAAAGCGTTTGTTCCTTCTTTCTTGTTCATTTTTGTCGGAAAAGATCAGCTACAGCGGAAAGATTTTGATTCATACATAGGTGGTCATTAAGACTTGGCTTCCGGAATGAACATACAGAGCCGGAGTAATTATGCATAAGTTGGGTTTATTTGTATTAGGAATACTTTGAAAAGGTGCTCGAACCACTTAGAGGTGAGACAAAAAGTAAGCTCTCTTCGCTTGAATAAACTAATCACTAAGTCATTATTTTAAACACGTTTTTTCATGTAACTTCAATTAGCCGCTGTAATGAAATGAACAGTTTTGGAGGAAAAATGACATTTCGTCAACAGTTTCCGTTTCTTGATAGAAAAAAGGCATGTATACTTGCCCAAAACCTGAGCCCAAGTCATGGCTGAGTTAGTAAATACTAATAACAATGTTAGCGAAGATGTACTTAGCTCTGCTCTCAAAATAGAAAACGTTATCTCTTAATCATTCCCTCACAAAGAGTCGTTATGACATAGAAATCACCGGCCATTAAGAGAGAACCAGGTCCCTGTCTTTCTTTCGCTTATTTAAATTCGTTTTGTAGAATATCTTGACATGGTTTATTTAAACA